CCGGTGCCTGGGCCTTGTGCTGGGCACCGGGGGAGAGCCTGGGAGGAGCGCAAGACCCAGTTCTAGTGAAACCTCTTAAGTGCTGCCCCAGAGCAATGACACCGGTTCAGAGTGCGGAGCCAGGAGCACTGCCCCACGCTCACCCGCCCACCCAGCCGTCCCTCGCTGGGCTTGAACACAGGCCTCCTGCGGCTTGGCCATTCATGGGAAGGAGGCCCAGGCCCCAGCACTTTGAAACTTTTAAGTCAGAGGGAGCTTTTCCGTCAGCTTTAACAGGAACCCTGCCATGTGGGCACAGATAGCGCTAAACCCAGCACATGGTTTGACACAGTAACGCGGATAGTCGCCAATACCAGCAAGCAGAGCCGACTGGGTCCTTCCAAGGGTCAATCACTGCCTGCCCTCCCTCATCCCTGCAGGGCTGAGAATGGGGCCCCCCAGCTCGGATTGGGGAGAGGGCTATTGACAGATCCGTGGGAAGGAAGAAATGAGAGTCAAAGAGCCCTTTGGTCTAATCACAGAAACAGCTCAACACCCCGGAGGTGTGTGGAGTGGGGCATGGGAGGAGGGAATGGGGAAATAGCAAATGGCAGGCAACATGCTGTGGAGTGCTGAGATCAGGGCATCAAATGGATCTGTGCTCAGCGGAGCATGTGTGTGTGTTGGGGGATGGGGGAGAGCTGATGAGCCTGTATCTTGGGGAGGCCCCCTCGGAGCAGCTCCATTTGGCGTAGTGGGAGGCTGAGGCTTGGCTAATGTGTTTCCTGACCAGATGTGTTTACGAAGGGGTTCCAGCTGTGCGTGCCCACAGCAGTCGCCTGCCAAGACAGAGACAACCCTGTGACCAGCGCCCTGGCTGATCACCACACTCTTTACCATGCAAGTGCCCCGAAGGACCCTGATGCTGATCTGAAGGGAATCGCCCTCTTCTGCGAGAGACTGGAATTCAGTCCCCTGCTCTGTTTTTCTGATGACGTGCCAGGACTGCAAATAACCTCCCCCCCCGCCGCAAATTCTTACAGGAAGTTTACTAGCTAGCAGCTCTCTTCCAGCCCTCCCAAATCTCCAGCATCTCAGCACCTTCCTCTGTTAAACAATGGGATGTTTTCTCTGGCCCTCTGGCAGGGAGGGAGAATGCCCTTTGGGGAGGGAAGGGACTTACCTGCCAACTGATACTCCAATTTTCACAACACTCAAAGGATTACAAATGAACTACAGGTTCACTGGGGCAGTCGAGAGGTTGTAAATCCATGTCTTGCCTGTGAAAGAATGAGATAATTTTAGGAAAATAACTGTGTGTCTCAATAGCAGAGCAGCCTCTGGAGGCTCAATATAAGCATGTCTATTATTATTATTATTTTCTATTCACTAACACCTAATGCACTCAGCTAGGATCACACAGCCTTTGTGCTAGGCACTGTCCAAACACACAACAGAAGACTGTCCCTGCCTCAAAAAATATGCATCCGAAGAAGTGGGCTGTAGTCCACAAAAGCTTATGCTCTAATAAATTTGTTAGTCTCTAAGGTGCCACAAGTACTCCTGTTCTTTTTGCGGATACAGACTAACACGGCTGCTACTCTGAAACCTGCCTCAAAAAAGTTACTGTCTACAAACAACACAGATGACCAGATACAGACATCAAATAGCGTTTTTTTCCAGAATACAGAACTTGTAAGTTACAATTGGAATTGGCTGGAGAGCAGAATGTTAATTTCACAAAAAAGAAATGGTTGTGATTGGTTTCATTCCAAACCAGAATGAAATGGCAAGAGTTGGACACTGTCCGTGCAACAGCAATTTCAGAGCGTTTCCGATCTAATCCTGGTGACAGGAAAATGTCGACATTTTAAAAATGAAAACAAATAACATTTTTCAAGGGCCTGAGAGCAAGTGGGGGGTTTCCATTTTTGTTGCTGTTGTTGAGGAAAAGGAGAATTGCAAAGAAGTCTAAATGTTTTCATGAAACATTCAGCATTCTTTGCAATGCCCCTTTTTGTCAAAATTCGCTGTCTCTGGAAATATTTCGCCCAGTTCTGGTCACAATGTCTCCTGACTTTGCTCTTCACATAACAGCCTCCAGCATCTCCTCCGTCAGCTGTCCTAGCCCATGTCCTCTGCCATGATGTCCCTCAATGCCCTACTTCCACTCTACTCCAAGAGGAAATAGTAAGCCCCTGCCTTTATTGGACCTCATGTCAGTTACAGTCCAATAGCTCCTGGGAGGAGCAGGGCATCTTAGCCACATCTGCTGAGTTGCTCCCAGACCACGCTGCTTTTAGGGACGTGACGAAGCACAGTCCCCATGTGGATATAGATCTGTGTCCGTTAGCTCAGAACATACCTTCCTGGGCAGTAAGGAGAGTAGGAAACCAAGCAGGGCGTCTCTTGCCATGGGCAATGCGAATCACGAGAAAACGCTCGGGCCATCACTAAGGAAGTTGTAGTTGTGGGACTCCTCTGGTAGCTGGGCACAGAGCTGAGGTCAATTGTGTACATATGCCGCCCACACCCCTTTCCTGGACTTTGCTGAGGAGCCATCTTCCTATCTAGGTGTTTGTTACACCTGCTTGTTGTATCACCTCTTAAATTAATGGCAAGCTCTTTGGGGCAAGCATTGTCTCTTACTATGTATTCGTAGGGTGCCTAGCACAAATGGGTCCCCAGTCCTGACTGGGGCCTGCTGTGACATTATAATACAAACAATAAGATTTCTGCTGGTATGATCTGCAAAGTCGTTAAAAAGTTGACTCTGTGCTGTCAACTTTAGGTTTCAGAGTTAACAACCCAATAATACAAATGAGGCAGCTACAAATGAAGCTATTGTTTCAGGCTCTCTGCAGACTCAGGCAGACATCCCTGCATTAGTTACATTCAGGTCATCTTTTCAAGCTTGTCTTCACATCCATAAGAGTTGGAAACATTTTTTTAAATGAAAGCTTAGATGTGGGGGAAGGGAAGAAGTCTGTGCTGCTGTGGAGTTGGAGAATACAAAGAGAGTCTTGCTTATCTGGGTCTTTCTGTGTGTTTGTAACAGCACCTAGACCAATGGGAGCTGATTCTGATTGGGGCAGCTGCATGTTTCCATAATAGAGCTATGAACAGTATTCCACACTGCAGTGTTCAAACCAGCCGTGCTTTCCTCCCCCCACCCCTCCCCCCGTTGTCAATTGCTTCTCCTGAAAACATACCCCATGATTGAACTGGAATAAAGCATGTGCAATGGACTATATTCCTGCCGGGTGGGAATTCACTGGTGCTGGCCAAAGAAGGGAGAGAATCTGGCCCGTTGTGACTGTGTGGTCCGTGTATTTGTTGACTTACTCATGCTCTTCTTCAAGAGGGGCCAGACAAACCCAAGCAAACATGCGCACCTAGGAACATTTTGGTGTTCTCACTCCAACATCTATTGGAAGTACCTGACAGCTGAGAGAGTTCTAGCTGCATTCCCCCCAGCCCTCTCTGGAAGCTCTGCCACACTCTGAGGGGCTAATTTTGCTCTGTGGATAGCTTTGTCCTCTTCAGCCATTAGTTAGGCAGAGCGATTGCTGCCTCCTGCCTCAAACAGCTGCAGCCCACACCCCACCAGCTCCTCCTTTTGCTAGGACTTCACACAGCCCAGCAGTGAGGGCAGCTTTCACAAGCTGGCAGTAGTGGTGACTGATGGCTGGCTCACTATAGGACACTGACATCAGCCTGTCTGGGGCTCCACTCCCAGTCTATCCCAGTAGGGGGCGCTGTAAGGAATGGGGTAGAAGGACTGGCTATTGGGGAGTTCCCCTCCACCCCAGTCCCAGGCTCTGCCAGCAGGAGGTGCTGTAGGGAATGGGATAGGAGCGCTGGCTGTAGGGAAGCTCCCCTCTAGTCTAGTCCCAGGCTCTGCCAGCAGGCGGTGCTGTAGGGAATGTGCCAGTAGCTGTGGAACTCGTGGCAAATTCAGCTCTGAACTCCCTTTGCAATATTTGATTTGGCTTGGGTGACTCTGTTAGGGTGGGCAGTGCCCTGCCTTCTCCACGCCATAGCCCAGACGTAGCCTGTTGAAGCAAAGGGGGGGTGCAGGGGTGGCGCAGGGAGCAGATCTGATTACCCAGGATGCCCCAGGCAGGACTCTTTACATGTGCTGGTTGGAGGTGAAGAAAGCAGTTAGTGTGCTGCCTCCGAGGGGCGTGTTTGGAGCGCATGACACTGGTACAATCCAGCGAAGAGAGAGAGGTGAGAGATTATAGACCTCAGGAGGGGAGCCAAAAGCACGGCTCCAGTTTCCCATTGGGGACCTGCTAATAAAACCCTCTGTTCCATGCAGGCTGCAAAGGGGGAGCCAGGCTGACTGTCTGCTTCCTCTCCCCAGCCCTGCCCTAGCCCCTCCACCCCACTCAGTCCAGAGCTGGGGAGCGCTTTGCCTGTGCTCTGCCTCATGGGGAGGACTTGCTGGGTGGGGGATTTGAAAGGCAATGCAGCAGAATGCACCATGTAGCTAGCACGGATGCTGTGGGGAGCGGTGCTGGGTTGATTTCCCAGACTGGGGGTCGCGCTAATCTTTCCCCCATTTGGGTCCAGGTGGGCTTCATACCCTTGGAATTCCACTTTGGATCTGGGCTCAAATCTACCATATTTCCCCTAGTGCTGGCTCAGACCCAGATGGGGGCCAGACCCAGAAACTTGGGCCTGGCTCTGCCCAAAGCTGGTCTCAGGCTTCTCCAAAACCCAGAGGCTGTTTGTGGGAATGCAGCCCCAGCTTGGATGGCGTGCGAGTTTTCTGTGCTTCCAGCTCTTGTTGGGACGCAGAGATGGGCCAGACCTGGTCCCCAAGGGCCCCAAAGTTCAGGGGAGAGTTTGAGCCCAAGGGGAGTCGTGTGGGCCCTTCGCTGTGATTTCTTTGCACAAGTCTAGACCCTGCTAGAAGAGCCGGTGGGATTGAAGGGGAGGAGGCTGCATGGCCCTGGGTGTATGGGCTGGGGAGTCCTGCTCTAACTCTCCCACCCCCTCCTCTCTCCCTGCAGCACTGAAGAGGTCGTTCGATATGGAGGATGCTGAAGAGGCTCCAGCTGTTCCGCCTTCCTGCCCGTTCGGCCCCAGCACGCCTGCAGACAGCCTAGCCGCGGGCAATGGGGAAAGCGGCCGGCTGGCCAGCCTCATGCCACCCACCCATCAATCCCGCATCAGCCTCAGCTCGAGCCCCAGCCCAGCCCAGAGCCCTGTGCTGAAGACCAAGATTAGCACCAGCTTCTCCTTCAACAGAGGCACCATCCAGCTGGCCAGGGCCAACGGCGCCGTGAGCTCCAGCCTGACCCGCGTCGCCTCTTTCCAAGCCAGGCTTGATCCCAATGGCTTCTCCTCCTCCTTAGGCCTGGGCAGTGAGAGCCTCCACAGCTCCTCCTCCAGCTTGGAGTGCCCACCGCCCCCCAGCACACCCCAGAGTGCTGCCAGGCAGCCGGAGCCTCGGGGGCTCAAGGCCGCCCCGGTTGCCAGCCCGGCACTGAAGAAATTCTCTTCCCACAGTAACGTCTTCCATTCTGAGGCGGAACAGCCCATCCAGCTGGTGTCCAAGGCCGGAGTGAACCATGGCTCACTGCCCTCTCTGGACCTGCACATTGCCGAAGATCAGGGCTCCCCCATCCCACTCGCCCCTGCCCTGGCTTTTCACTCTGCTGGAGCCTGGAGCAGCGGCAGCCAGAACTGCGCCTTGCTCCGAGGGAAGAGCAGCACACCCGTCAGCAGGGAGCCTTCCTTCTCCTCCTCTTCCTCCTCTTCCTCTTCCTCCCCACTCTCCGATGCAGCCCAGCGGCCCAGTCTGAGCCCCCCTCCTCCACCCTTCAGGCAGCCGACAAAGCTGCAGAAATTCCCCCTCAGCCTGGATGGTTTGGTGGGGAAGCCTCTGGATGGCTCGGATCCAGCGCCGAGTGCTGACTCTGCGTCCAGACCGCAGCCAAGGACGCAGCTCCAGCTCAGCCTCAGCACCAGCCCCAGCCTGTCCCGGCAGCCCCCGGGTAGGGCCAAGGAGGGTGCAGCCGCAGCCTCTGTGAGTGGTGTCTCCGCAGCGCCGTCTCCGGGGAAGTGCCCAGGTGCCCAGGTCAATGAGAGCCCTTGGCCACCATCTCGGTCTCCTGCTCAAGCTGCTCCCTTCAGGCTCATGTCTCGGCCTCAGATAATGCAAGTGACTTCTCAACCCTCCTTCCTTGGAGGCCCAGCAGCATGTCCAAGGGAACATGTCCGATCCATGGCTGAAAGAGTCAACTCCTTCTCCAGCTCTGAGGTCTCAGGTCTTGGGGCTCCTGCTCCCAGTTCCTACCCAAGGGAAGTCCCCTATGTGGGCCCGACAGGTTCTCCAAGGGTCTCTTCTGTGAGCGAGGAGATGCAGGGCCGAGAGAAGACAAAGGAAGGTAGGACTTTTCTCTTTCTTATCTCTCTGGCTGTATTCTGCCCAACATAGCTTGAAGTCAATGAGAGCTAAGAATGAACATCCAGGGCATAGCATTGCCCTGTGTGTTCAAGGCTGCCCTGTCAGATGTCTCTTCTCCTAACTCTGCCGGTGTTGGTGAAAGAAACTGACACCGCATGAGCTGGGATTTGCAGCTGGGAAGCACTGCCAGGCCCAAACAGTCGTTCTCTCTCTTTCCCTGCTTTCTCCAGCTGATGCTCGGAGGTAGCAGGCATGAGAAGGGCCTCAGCCAGGGAATGAGACGTTGCCGAGGCATTTGCCAGGCTGGTGCTGACGTACTCTCTGAGCCAGCCCTCGCTTTCCTGGATCAGCTGTTCCCCCGGCTATGGGGGCCAGTGCCGGGGGAGAGGTAGATGTGGGTCCAGATGAAGGGGCGCAGAGGGGGTTAGGGGATGCAAGCCCCAGGGCGTCTGTAAGTGGTGTCATGAGGGGTGGTTGTCCAATGGCTCTTATTGCTGGGACTGGGAACAGGGCCCCGTGGAAGTCTAACAGGTTAGAAAACTGCAGTGGGTCGGATGCGATGGGGGACTGAGAGGAGACTGTGCCTGCTGCATATACCCCAAATCCCACATGCTGGGGGAATTAGATCCTGGGTTTCACACTACAGGCTCTGTTGAACTACAGCCAGTCTCTTGTCAGTAACTCGGTCCTGGGAACCAAAGCAGACTTAATCTAGAGAAGCACCCAAGCCAACACCCGGGGTGTGAACACCCCTGAACTGGATCTGGAGTCAGATATGAGCTGGGCCCAGTCTCCAGATGAGCCAAACCAGCTCTCTGACCCACATCCACCAACGTTCTGAGGAGCTCACCCCAGATCTTAGTGCATATCGTGGAGACTCCAGTCAGGGCCCCTCCTCGCTGGGCGCTGTCTGCACCTCTCACGAAAGACAGCCCTGGCCCCAAGGACCTTACAGCCTGAGTATATAACACGAGACAACCAGTGGGTACAATAGACAGACAGGGAGCACAAGGCGACCACGAGACCATTCTGATTCAAATAAGTGTTGGGGAAAGGGGTGGGGGAAGATCGGGAGCTCTGTTTGGGCCATGTTGGACTGGTCTGGTCTGCCCTGACCTGGTCACAGACATCCCAGCTTGCACCTACATCTCATCTGTCCCCCATTTTCCTTCTCTCTGCCCCCTGGTGATGGGCAGTCCTCCTTGGGCATTTCTGCTGAGAAGGCAGGTCAGGACATGTGTGCTTTACCTCCGGCAGAACCCACGCCAGGGCCACATTTGTAATGTAATGCAGGGAACTCGCACCAAAGCCCCCCTCCTTTCCTTGACACAAGGACAGGAGCTGAACTCCTCCAGCATTGTTGCCTCATTTTCCTCCTCAGCCCTGGGGCTGGAGAAGGTGGCAGGTGACCAAACTGTGCCTTGCCATATTTCACGCCTCCCCGAGCAAGCAGGGAGCAGCTGGCGGGGGTGCGGGGAGCTGGGGCTGAACAGTTCTCTTGGCAGTGGTCTCTTTCAAACAGATCCCTGAAGGGGGACCCTCGGTGAAGACTACTTCCTGTAGAGGCCACCTGTCCCTAGACACTCCCTACTCTGCAATGCCGTTGGCTCTATAGACCTGCTCACCTCTTCTGCTGATCCCACTTGCCCCCGGTTTTTGTTGCATTGTACACTTACAAGCTACTAAGTTTGCTTGAAAAGTGTTTTGGGGCCCTGTGTGACACTAAGTATCTATCCTGCAGTGACGGACGGTTTCGGTCTTTCCATCCTGTAGTGGCCTAGCTATCCATCTAGGGGAATATCTGGCCACCATTACCCCTCGGGTTAAAGTGCCTGACAATCATATAAGGTGTCCAACACGCCTGCAAGAGAGGGCAGTGCTAATATCCCCATTTTACAGCTGGGGAACTGAGGCCCGGATCCTCAGAGGCATTTAGGCACCTAACTCCTCTGGATTTCAATGGAAGTTAGGCACCTAAATACCTTTGAGGATCGGCGCCTAAGTAACTTACCCAAGGGCATGTAGGGAGTGTGTGGCAGAGCCGGGAATTGAACCTACGTCTCCTGAGTCTGGCTCCTTCATTGCAAAGACCCCCTTCATCTCAGAATGATGCTGTTGTCTCCTCCTGACCTGGTGCCCGAGCAGTAAGAGCATAACACAAGGATGCCCCTCCTCCCCCCCTGCAGGGAAAGCTTTTAAATGTGCCAACCATACACCGACGGTGGCTTCCTAGCTGAGCCCCCCGTGACATGTTCCAAGCAAGACCAGCGATGGGCACTAGACTCGGGTTTAAAAGAGCTGGCAAATCTCAGCCCATGCCCTTGTCACGAGCAGGGTCAGAGTTCGCCGTTACCTGGAGCCTTCCACTCCCTTTGCTTATCACCCTTCGTAAACCTGCCACTCACTCTTATCAGCTGGAGACTGGGAAGGTTTGTGGTTCCCACTGGAGAGCTCGGCTCTGGCTCTTTGGCTCTGCTGGGACAAATCCTGAACAAATCAACCCAGCGAAGCACAGTGGTTCCCAGGGCCTCTGCGTTCCCACTGGAGATGGAGCCTGCCCTCTCCCCTCCCCGTGGCAGTAACTGGAGCTTGGCCTGCAGACTAGGGGGAGAGCGCTGTGTTTGCTCAGAGTAAGGAACGGACTGGGCCAGGAGGTGGCTGATAATGCTGTGCAGTTTGAGCTCATCTCCAAGCCTGCATGCCCTGGGAAAGCTGCCTCTGGGAACAGGGGGCGTGGGGAACGAGGATAGGCTGAGTGCTCGCTGTTTGGGGCAACAGGCACTGCACAGCGCTGAGTGTGAACTCTGGCGGACAGGACGTGGGGCTGAGGAAGAGCCCTGCGGGGATCCCAGAGCTCCCATGGCTGGCGTCCCAGCTGGCACTGAAAGGGCAGTCCTGGGGGAAACTCACACTGGGGATCAGACCCCCAGGCTACGTGGCTGACGGGTCCCGAATCCCAGGAGCGGATACAGAAGCGGGCAGAATGAGCAGGTTTGCAGGGTGTTCCGCCCATCCCTCCTGCTGGCTTTCAGTGTAACAGACTCTGTAAAGATTCCCGCTGTAAGGCAGAGCCCAGTATACGTGTCGGGGGCACAACCACTCACTCATAGATATTACTGCCCAGGTCGCTTACTGAAGGCAGCAGGACTATGTGCTGAGTATAAGCAAAGCCGTAGTTTATGGGGGAACTAGCGGAGGCTGATGAGCAGTCCTGGCTGTCTGCCTTTGTATTAAATCAGTTCTTTACCCCACACATTGGCAAGGGAAGATTTGATCCCAGACCCCAGTTCTCTCCATTCCCGTTTATTTCCTTCTGGACAGTTTTTTGGCCCCTGGGAAAAGATCCCGATTCAGCAAAATGCTTAAGTCATGAGCAGCCCCACTCCTGCAACACGAGTCCTTGCTGAGTTCAGCAGAACCACTCAGGTGATTTGTGTAAGGGCCTTGCTGAAGTGGGGCCTGTAGCCATTGTCCTGACTTTGTTGTACTGAAGATTCCATGAAAGCTGGTTCTTCGAACAGTTGATTTCAAAGGCAGCAGGTCCCTGGGCTCCTCTGGAGTCTGGGAAATTCTTTAAATAAACTCCTGATAAGGGACAACCCCTGATTTTGAAGAAAGGCAAATCCCAGCTGCCTGAACCCTGGAGATAAACAAACCCACACAATGACACATGGGCTGCATTTGCTCTACAGCAGATTCCTTTGACCCGGGACTGGGTCCAATTCAAATTAGGAATGAGCTTGTTCCTCTCTCACCAGCCCTCCTGGTCCCCGAGCATACCTGTTCCTGCCCTCTCCCAAGCACAGGGCTCCCCACAGGACTTTGCAGAGAGAGAGAGCCTCCAGGCATGGTAAATGCACATGGCTCAGTGCATACATTGGGACTGCCTCTTCCAATTCCTCTGGGACAGGAACAAGCTGGCTTTGAGCTTCAGCAGGAACCTTAGCCCTTCTTTGCATGCATGGGGAACCTCCACCTGTCTAGTTTAGGTATTGGTAAAACGTCCATGAATTCGGCAAGACGTTTTGGTGTCTTCTGCAATCTGCAAATTTTTATTTATTTATTTATTTTTGCCAAAAAAGATTTGTCCTTTCGCCCAGCTGTCTGGGAGTGTGTGGGGCTAGAAGTGTGTCCACTCCGCTTGGGCCAGGTGTGGTGTTTCCTGCCCTGGTGCTGCTCATTGTCCTTTGTGATGGCTGATTGACATATCCATTGCTGCTAACGCGTCTCAGGGACGCTCCTGGGTTTCTTTGATCAGTTGTTGATGAATAACAATTATCTTCTGTCCTCTCTTCGTCCTCCAAGCAGGGGATGCCAGCATTGCAAGCTCCTTACACTTCCTTTCCAAGGTGCCTCAGACCCACCCCAGAGATCCCTCCTCTACGAGAGAGAGAATAGTGCAGTCTCCCTGGCCTATTCCACCCTTAGCCTCCCCCAATTAGTGACAGTGAGGATGGTTTTTGTCATGTGGACACATGTCTGCTGAGAATTGGAAGGAGGCAAACAAGCTCATGTCATCCAGGCCACCAGACAGCCACCACATGAAAGCAACAATCAGTGACTATCGCACCTGGATCCCATCCCTGCCAAGCTAGCATCCTAGATGAGAGAGACTCTCCAGTCCATTCTGATCCCCCAGGCCACTCAGGTTTTCTGGGCCTTTCACTTTCCCTGAGACATCTGAAGGAATTTGGTTTCCCAGTAGCCAGGTTCTAGGTACTAGAAAGCTGCTCAGGATGCAGGCTTGGGCCTGCTCATTTCCCCAGGAAGCTTGCACACCGAGCAACGGGGCAGCAGCCATGTTTCATTTCCAGTTCTTGTGTCAGGGTGGCCCACAAAGATCCTGGGGCTCCCACGAAAGCGGGGGAAGAGGACAAGCGGCTCAGGGCTGGAATTTCCGCTCCCCTCTTGGGAAAATATCTTGTTGGCCAAAGCCCCCATTTTACCCAGTTGACATGAAAGCCCTAACTGCTGAGCTCG